TGAATAATATAAATTTCTGTTATTTGTTCAAATTGCTTTTAGCCTGTGTTAATAACTTTTATTTTTTGGGTAAAATCTATGTTATCTATGCTTGGCTTACCTTTTATACATTTTTTGATAACTTGAAAGTATATAATGKTTATTGAACTATATGTTTTTATCCTTAATGCTTCATATATTTCCTTTGCCTTTTGTTTTGTTTGTATTCTCTAATATTATTAAATACCTGATATATATTTGAATTAAGTAACAATATAGTTTAAATATGGATAGGTATATTATACTGCTTACAATTTTGTAATGTAGTTAAAAATTAAAACATATTATTTAAGCATAAAGTTTTGATAAAATAGTTGAGATTTGAGGAATTTAGAATATCCTTAGCCGCATAATCAACATTATTAAAACAAAAAGGTTTAGTTTTCAAACATATTTAAAAATATTTTTTGTAAATTAAATAATTATATTAGGTAATATAATTTTTTCTATGACACTAATTACAACTTTAAAGGATTGTATATTGCATCTGTATTTAAGGAGTTTGTAATAGCATTGATTATAGTCATTATTTAATAACATAATATTTATAAATTATAATTAATGGTAGTAGTTAAGAAGATTACCTATGTGCATAGTGCATGTGAACCTTATAGTCGATCATTTTTTATTAGTATGTGTACATATATCATAGTTAATTCATAAGTCATAACTAAAGTGTGGATTTTTATGCAATTCTATATTTTTTGCTCTTCATATTTTTTAGTAATTTTTACAAAAAAAAAATATAGTTCAAAATTTAAAAACTTGTAAAATCTCTTGTTTACATATTACTGCATATATTGTATAACGTTTACTGCATATTAAATTTGTGCATATTTTTACAAAATTCAAAATTTATTGCATAATTATGCAAAAAGTTAAGAAAAAAAAGCAATAATTTAATTTCGTCAAGTTGAAAATCAAAAAAAAATATTTCTAGGCACTAAATAGTAATTGAAATAAAGATAAGTTTATTAATTAGATACTTAATTAATAATTATCAATTAAAATTGTTTTTACCTTTTTAGTCTATTTTTTTGATTTCAACTGTATATTAAAATCTTGCACCCTAGTCATAACACATAACTTTTACACGCAYGTGTCATGACAATGTAGAACTATGCACTACATATTAGTGGTGGACATATTCAGATTTGTCGAATCCGGATTTATTAAATCGGGAATTCAACTTGATTTTGCTGTTTGATGACTCATTTGTATATAATAATAATATTTTAATTCTATAACATAATTTTTAGACATATAAAATATTATACCAAATTTCGAATGTATTTTAAGTAGGTAGGTACCAGTGATATCATAAAACTTAAATAGTAATTTACTGTTCAATTTTCATTATAATAAAATAAAATAATTTATTTTACCATACATTAAAAATAATTGGTAGTCATAAGTCACATACAATCAAACCCATAAATCTGCATAAGAATTTTATTCCAATCCGGTTTTAGATATTCCGATATTTGGACTTCATACTCATCCCTTCTACATATGTCATTAGTCATTACTCTTCCAATTTTGAGTGTTTTTTATTTTTACTTAAAGTACCTATGTGCCTAATTTCTGTACAATGGGATWGCCTGAATTTTGAATGAGAGGTGGAGGATTGCCAATAAAAAGTACTTAATATTGTATGAACATGTTTGGTTTTACATTTTACATATTATATAATATTATGTAATAACTATATATAAAAAKTTAAAGGTGCCCCCTCCCCCATGTCCRTTATGTTCTGTTTCTTCAGAAAACACCACTTATTCTCTACATCATACAAAATTAACTATTTTTTTAAAAGACTACTATAAACAAATTTTTACTTGTCAATAATTTTTCTGACATTTTCAGATTTTTTAATCAAATTTTTATCTGAGGATAAGTTAAAATTTAAGTATTGTAAGATTGTTCTCAAGTAAACTATGATAAATTCAGATTTTCTTACAGCTAAATTATTTATTGGATTTGATTAGTTTGATTGATACAAATTTCTGATGAATAAAGTATTATGTTTTGGTATAAAATAAGATAGAGAGGAGATAATTTCTTTAACTCATGTACCCATTATATCATAAGATCTGTTCTTACTTTATTTTTTATTGATGAGACGTAATACCTTTTATGAATTTGTTTTTGCTTAATATTTACCAATTATAAAATAAAATGTTTATAGAATGTATATTTAATGTAAAATAACTTATAACCTTCACATTTACTAAGTTTTCCTGTTATTAATTCTTTAAAAAGATGTGAATATCAATCTTATAAACATAAAAMAATAATTTTATGATTGGTATAGTGAAAATATAGAGATTTGTTTTTAATTTTGACTACATTTTCAATTACTTAAAATAAAGATGAAAATATCTGAGCAAGTTCTCTCATCATTCTTTTTTTATTCACTTAAGAAATAATATATTAAGTAGGTACTCATTTTTAAATGTAGATATTTTGGATATACTTTGGTATACCTAATTAATATTTAATATTCATTTAAACAATTTTTATTATATCAGTTACACTGATGTCAAACATAAAATTATTAGGTACCTATATTATACTTACATAAGTAACCCATTGTAGACGAAAAAAAACTAAATAATAATATCAATTCAAAGTATTATTTTACTGAACCTTTTTGTCACTTTTTGTCAGGCTATTATAGTAATTATTTTAATTTCCAGAGGACCATAGTTTGATTGATAAGAAAATAATAATGAAAGATAGGTCAATATATTTTTATATAACTTATTTTCATTAAAATTGGAATATCGTTCTCAAATAAAATCACATAAGGAATTTAAATGCATTTTCAATAGAGTTATGGCTTATCACATCAGAAAAGACTGATTTTATAAAAAAATAAACCTATTTATCTTAAAAAACTGTATGTTTGTGATTCCCTTAAAAATCATTTTCTACTATAATCATAATTGCTCAAGTGTAAGGMTGTGAATTGTTACAACATTCATGAAATGATTCATAATGGGTCTATTATAATCTACAACTATCTGAAAAACAAGATAAGGTGCTGAATGTTAGATCCTATAAATTATACATATAACATTTAATTGATGGTCATTTTCATTAATAATATGAACGTGTGTAATTTTAAAATTATAAATCCATAATTATCTATATATGACCTGCATTTTTATATTATATATAGTATCTGTATTGAATTTAAACATAACTAATTTTGCTACCATAATTGATAAAAGACAAATATCTGATCTGTGGTTCCTAATTGCTTGGGTATTCGTTAATTATTATTTTTAGTGATTTGAATTATAATTTAAATGTATTTCCTCTATCACTGTATATAAAAAGATTGTAAGCTGAGCTTGGTTTACCTTAAAATGATAAACATTTTGCTAAACACTGATTCTTGTTTAAATTGTTTCTGTCTTTCTTTTTTTTTTCTCAAAAGTTACTAGCAAATTTAAAAAATCATAGGCTGCTTTGCTCTATTCAGAATTTCAAAACAATTGCTTATTTGTGATCAATAATTACAATTTAAGTATTAAATATATTAGTCTTAAACTGTATTTATTATTTTGTTGTAGTCTTCAAATTATTAATTAATATTATAGGTTAATCCATTTTTTTTTTTTCATTTTGGCATTTTTTCTAACATAATCCTTCTACACTTCTTTGGGCTGTTTATTATTTGGGAATAAATTATTAAATACCTAAAGAACAAGAAGAATAATAAAGATGCGTCKCCAGTTACCGAGAAAGACGATAAATCGCCTGCGGTTGTGCCATCTGTGGTTGAAACTATCAACGTGACTGTTGACAATAGTACTGACTTTAAGGTAAGAAGAACTGTATAAAATATATACAATACTGTAAAATGTGATGATAATGACAAAAACTGTTAGATAYCGTAAATTATTTATTGTTAATTACTACTATAATACTGTAGTGAGTTATACCAAATAAATAAAAATGTAGGTATAATTAATTTTTTTCAAATCATTGCAGCATGWAATATTTTCCCAGTAAAATAACTGCTCGTAGATTTTCAATGGCTTTTTAATTAGGTGTAATTTATATTACATTTAATTGTTTAACTTTAGTAATAATTATTACCTAATCGCAGTGTCTCTAAAGTACTCAAGTGAAATATAATATTATCTGAAATTATTATGTTCACTATTATAATGCTGAATAAATTGTATGTTTTATGCTGAAATTGACTTTGATACCACAGGATGCAGACATTGAACAACAGGCTCCAAAAAGATGTCGATTGCGATTCGGCAGTAAGAGTTTGTTGATTGTGTCAAAAACTCTGATACAAGCTTTTACAATGACATTTCTTGCAGAATGGGGTGACCGTAGTCAATTAGCCACAATAATTTTGGCAGCTAGAGAAGTATAAAATATTAAAACCAAGACTTCAAATTTATTATTTTGAATTTGAATTTTTAAACCATTTTCAGGATGCTTATGGTGTTGCACTTGGAGGAGTCCTAGGACATTCTTTATGTACAGGATTAGCTGTTATTGGTGGTCGTTTCATTGCTCAAAAAATATCTGTTCGAACTGGTTAGTATTGTAGAATAAATAGGTAATAAATAAAAACATGAAATAATAAATTATGTGTTTGTATTTTTATAGTAACTATTGTTGGTGGTGTTGTATTTATAATGTTTGCCGTGACTGCACTAATGTTTGATCCAAACGAAGGAGAAACATAGCCATAAGAATAACAACTATTAAGGCCATTGCAAATGCTCCAGTTCCAGAACTCAGCATACTTAGTTCATCTGTGATATTTATATTTCACTATTCTTTTTAGTGTATGCATTCATTCAAGTTTAAAATTCAATAATATTGGTTAATTTTTGTATTATTGATCTATATATATGTTATATTTGTATAAATAAAGTATTATTAATGAGATTTATTGCCATAAGGTATAACAATGTTTAGTATATAAACAGTGAATGATAATAAAAGTGATATATTTGCCTAAATACTTTTGTCAATTACTTAATTATATTTTAATAGTTTTAATTATCTAACTATGTACGATAAGTATCGTACAAATAAATTATAATTTGTTTGAATATGTCATAGTCGTATATCATTTTTAACATCRAATCAATTTTATTTGTACAATAAAATATTATTTTTCATTATAAATAACATAAAATAACACTTTTTATTACTTCTTTTTCCATACAATGACTGTTGTGTAATTGGTTGTAACTTTTTAGCCTTGAACCTAAATCRAAAGTACTCTGTTTATAATTGCAGCAGAGATTTAAGGCTATACTGAATTTTTTTGTATAGGACTTCTATGAGGTAGTGTTGGTATATGYCACATATTATATATTATATATATAGCTCATTGTGTTGTGGTATACACTCAACTGCAGAAACAATCCGAAATTCGGATTAAATAATTGTAATCCRTATTCCAGATTGGTCAAAATAATGCTCAGCACTAGGTTATACCCATAGAAAGTGTGATGATGAGCATTTTAAATAGGCAATGATTATTTCTAGTGCAATGTGATTGTGTGAAATTATACATAATGTCGGGAAAATCTAGAGGCATCCAGAATTGATACAGAGTAAGAATAGTGATACAATAACAATATGTAGTGAAATAATGAATTATAATTATTAATTTATAATATTTTATTATTCTGTACTCAGTTGGTATTTTATGTCAAATACCCCATCCAAAAATWATTTTATTTTATTTGTAGTTTTAATTCACAATCTGAGTGATTCAAGGTAATAGGTTTCCTTTTCAACTTAAACGATCAAGTCTTGAAATAGAATGTAGTCTTGATGTATCACATATTATTGTAGTAGTAGGTATTATGTTAAAAATTTATATTTATACATGTATTATTTAWGATTATGTAACTTGTTTATGTTTTGTAAGTTATAGATTATTTATTGAATTAGTTTTAGTATAATTCAGTGTTTATTTTAAACATAATGTATACATWTAAAGGGAAMATTGTGATAAATTTAAGTAAAAAACATTTTTTGGTGATAAAATTGAGCATCRCCTTCCAATTRATTATYAGTAATTAAATTATTCTATACTTAACATAAGTCTCCTGTTTCTTAAAAAAGTGTTGTATTTTTTTACCTAATATTATTGAAAATAAAATCTTGTATCCTCAAACAAAATCTATTAAAAATGTAGTTGATCACAGTATAAATTGGGCAATAACGAAGTATATATTTATCAGAGAGCAATAATTATTAATAACACATGCCATATATAGACAGCGGAACCTAGAGAACTCGAATCAGTTGGGGACAAAAAAAAAATTCAAGTTATTGAAAATTCAAGTTACGGAAGTTCACACATATCATGTAAKGTACACAGGGGCCAAGGTATTCCTTTGGGTAATCAAAAATTCGACTTGTATAGCAACTTGTGGACGTGAATAAACACTGAACTCCGTTATAGATAAATCAACAGAACGCTTATAAAATTATTTTCATTATATATTATCATCGTAAAAAACCTATAAGAATACATTATAACATAGATTATGTATTATACATTATTATTATTATTATTATTATGTATTATAATAATAAATTTCTTAAATTTAAAATAGATATAATAAATATATTTTTTTTAAAGGAATAATTAAGTTTAATCAGTTTTGACTAGATCATTGAAACAGTATTCATGGTTTTTCAACAATGAGTACAAAATTATTATACAATAGATATTTTGGACAGTTCTGATTTTATAGATTAATAATTTAGATATCTGAAGGTATTGCAGTTGCGTTAGTAGTTTTTACAACTTGATTTGTACACGATTTAGAGAGGGGAAGGAAATTGGGCCTAGTTATTATGTTGGTGTTCGGACAACTTTCTTCAACTGGTGTCTGTACAGCAGTGATATCTGTTTGTGTTTCTGCAACACTCTGCGATAAAGGGCTTACACACCGTAATACATGATCCATTGACTCCTGCAGCTGTTGAACCTTAAAAAATATGTAAATGTTTTTTTTTTCTTTAACTGTGTTTTAATAAGAAAAAATCCACAATATTAATATACTTTATCATACTTAAATTTTTTAAACAAATAGAAGGATAAATTTAGTTATCTTAAAGTAAAATGTTTAATAGTTATTAAGTTAGAAATCTAAAAGAAAACATAAGGTTTTCAACTTTGTTTTAATTTTTTTTGCTGATTTTTGGTATTTCTATAAACTTAGAAAATTAAAAAAAAAATAATATTTCAAAATACCACCTAAAAATGATTAATAATTTTTAGCTAAGGTTATTAAGACCTTAGATTTGTAAAAATGTATGATTAGTTAATTATTCATAATGAAAAATGAAATAAACATTGTTATAAAATCACAATAGTAATACATTTCTCTCATAACAATTAGTTATTTTTACTCTAAAAACGTAAAATAATCACAATATTAAGTACCTTAATATCCAATGAAGAGCATGTCAGACACTTGGAATTGCCATTATTTTCACTGCCTAATTTGTTGTCCATTGTGTTAACCTTTAAACATCAACAGTATTAATTTATTAATTTTTAAATATATGAAAAAATTATATTGGAGGTTTCACAAAAAATTTAAATATTCTATATTAACCTAACCTATTTAAATTTCTTATTTTATTTTTCTGATTATAACAATTTAATTATAGCAGAGTAGTTACTAGTTTATGAGTTATAAGTATTGTTTAACTACTCATCTAAAATTAGATTTGTGTGTATCACAAGATTTCATAAAATATTCCGTTCAAGAATATAAAATTAAAAATAAATGTTGCCATACTCAACAATTAAAATATAAAAGAGATTTAAAAATAGTACATTATTTTCAACAATATTTTGTTTTTTGTAGACCTAGAAATAATTTTCAAAAAAGTTATTGGTCTTAGCTGTAATTAAATAATAATAGTAATTATATTTTAAACAACATTTAAAAAATAAATGTTAATTTTGCTTTTAAATAAATCTAAATCAATTAAATAACACAATACTCTGAAGACTTTTATAATGTGTATGTGAAAAAAAAATTAATATTATCAGAATATGGTGAATGATGGACAATGAGTTCATTATTTTGGTATTAGTTTAATACTGTTTTAAATCGTATTTTTGTTTTTTTTTAAACTATTGCTACTAGTGACCTACCACACGTCCACACACCATATTTTTAGAACCATTTAATGTAATTATAAATATAGTGAATGTGTCATTATATCAAATAAATTATATTAATATAAATACCTTTTTCCATAACTCGTTTATAGCTTGCATTTGTAATACTACTAATTTATGTTCTTTTTCGAGAGTACTTTTGGTATCTACTAAATCTTTGCTCATTTGCCTAAAAATCCCAAACTTATATAATTAAAAAAAAAAAGAAAAAAACATTTAGATGAAATGTCTTACTTAATGTATTGATTGAAACGTATCATTTGTACATGTTGATATATATTAGATACATTTTTATCCAAATTTCTAGTACGATATCCTCTCCACATTTTTTGTATTACAACGGCTGATTGGTGTAAATCTATATAAAATATTAATACCATACAAATAAATAAAATAAACAGTATAAAATAATTATTTATATTTTAATTTACCTTTGTTATCAATACCGTTCATTTGTGATGCTTTATTTTTAATCATTCGTAATTTTTCCATAGTAGGTGCCCGAGACTCTTCACCAGCCGGAGTTTGAAGACCAATTATAGGTCTTTGTTTAGGTACACTTGGCGTCAGTGGACTAGGTAATGAGTCTATTATCGGCAACATAGTGCTGGCAGCTGGTAGAGGTGGAGATTGGACAAAAGAATTGGCTTCRGTCAATGGTAAATGGACACTGCGAGACATACTATTAGGTGTTCCTTGGCAGCTTTCTGATCCAGTAGATAGTCTTTGTGTTGTAGACTTCAATACACTAGGATCTAGACTTCTGGTCATCAATGATTCTTGTCCTGATTCTTTAATATTTGGTGTACTTGTTCCTATTAAAGGCAAAGTAAAATAATATATGACAATAACAATTTACTCTAATTCAAGTTATATTATACATACTATGTAGTTGCTCTCTATATTGTTGAGCTTTGCTTAAAACTAGTCTTAGTTTTCTTTCTTGCTCGGTCTCTAAAGTATGACTAGTAATTGGGCATGTTTCTGTTAAATAGTGAATAAGAGCAGCATGTTGTCCAGTATGAAATTTTCGTCCTTGACCTTGGCTATACAGCCACTCAGCTTTTAAACTGAAAATTAATGTGATTTACTTAATAGTTTTACAAATGTTGTCTCTATATCAGCAGCAGATTTTCAAAAAATTAGATATAGATACAAGAAAACAATTTTAATTTTTATACATTATTTTGTGGTTGGAAACACACATTAACAATGATTACCAAGTATAATTTGCATGGACTTTTCAAATACTTACTTTTCAATATCATCCACAGCATAACCATCAACTATTTTCACACTAGGGCACCAATTAACTATAAATGGTCTGTAGTTAAATGTGTATCCTTCTAGACAACTATTACCAGTTAAAGTTATTTCTCTTAACAAACCAAGACGACAAAGCTGGGATATTTCATTCAAATCATTAAGTTTGTTATTGGCTAAAGTAAGAGTTAGCAGGTTGACTGGAAGGAAATGTTGACAGTTGGTTAAATGACAAATATTATTTGAATGCAAGAAAAGCCTCTGTAAGTATGATAAAATGTTAGTTTAAATATTTCATAGGTGTAATACATAATTATAGTGCATATCATATGCATAACATTGACAATGATCTATTTAAAATTTATTCAACATACTTCAAGTTTTAAAAGATGACTTAAATTGGTAATGTATGATATGCTGTTGAAAGACAAGTCAATGTGCACTAAGTTGACATTGGTTGATAAATGTTCAATAATCTAAAAAAAAAAAACCACGATAATAAAAATTATAAATTTGATTGAAGAATAACACATACTTTGATTTTATTATTGGATAAATTAAGCGATGAAAGATTTACTAGATCTCTGAGCCCTTCAATACTCATCAAATGATTATTAGATAAATCTAATTTTACAAGTTTTGATAATTTTGCAACTGTATACATTCTCATCATCTGATTATGGCTTGCAATCAACTTTAAAAATGTATTTATATTTAGTTAAAAGCTTTTATAAAATAATGTTAAATATTATTTTTAAAACTATTTACTTCATTAAGTTCAGTAAATTGTTCAACATTTTCCAGTTTCTGTAAGCAGTTTTTTCGTACATCTAAGACTTTAATAATATGACTGTTTTCATTTTTTGGCAACTTTCGCAATTCTTGACTAGACAAATCTAATAACGTATTATCTAAAAAAATTTAAATTAAAATAATCATGTCAGAATGAATACTTTTTTAATGTGATAATAAATATTGTAAGCAAAGATACATTTTTTATTTATAAAACATAAAAGTTTAGGTAAATAGCTATCTATTGTTAATTTCTTGTGATATTGTAATTTGTAATTATGTTCAAACATAATGATTATTAACGCGATTATTWAAATGTATCGATCAAAAAAATCTAAAGAAAACAATCAAATAGGCTTACCRGTCATTTTGTAGAAAAAAATACAATGGTGTAAATAATATTACCGTGTAATATTATATTATATGATTCCACTTGAATACTATATCATAGGTACAATGATTGGCCAAGAACGGTTTTAAAATATCACATTTGTACAATAAATACAAAGATTTGATGAAAGCAAAATTAAAATTGTAAAAATACCGACTTAGGTTTAAAAAATAATTTATTTAATACCAAAACGTGATGATTTTAAAGTTCACTACTTAAATGTAAACTACTAAACCGTAAAAGACTAATTAAGTCTAAAATGTATCATCCCGATCCTTATCTTAGTATCACTATCATTATAGTCTAATAGTAAACTAACTTGAACTTAGGAACGGACTTGAGAGTTTTGTCGTGTTTTTCGCCAATCGTCATTGGCTATATTATTCGTAGTTCCAAGAATTTTAATGGATATTGTATATTGATATTTGATATCTGTAATAATGTTATTTATTAATTTATTATTTTCATCGTTTAACCTTTAACCACTTTGAATTCAAGTTGACGAAAATAAATAAATAAGAATGTAAATATATCATAGTCATTCAAATATTTTTTGTAATAATATTAATTACATGTTATAAATGTTTCAGGATTATTGATTGATCTGCAAAGGTAAGTGCTGTTAATCGGAATTAAAAACCTTGAAATTATAGGTTCTATGTACATGTAACGCACGTGTTTTGATAATTTAAATTATATAGTGCATTGGAATGTATTGGAAACGTGCTAACGTTTATTATTCGCAATGTGTGCGCGGCCGAGGAAAATACTGTACCGTATCTAAATTCCATCGACCTGGCATAATAAACGAGCTGTTGGCTGAGAAATCTCGAGAAGAAGAAATTGTTGTGTCGGACTCGTTGACTAAAATACCGCGTTTGAAACCAATGGAGAASACCGAATTTCGTAAAAACCCGTTGAACATTCAAATGTTGTCGGCCAACTTGTACGAACAGCTTTTCAACGAGTCTCATACCACTGATGAAAATGTTCTGAAGATGGCCCTAAATGAGCTGTCCAAATATGATTTGCCATCGGCATTGCACAAGGTGCCCGATATTGAACTCCAATTGCCTCCATTGGAGGGAAACATAGTTGATCACTTTWATGAAATTGGTAAAATGCAAAGTGAACCGTATTCAATTTTGATGAATGAATTTTTAAAACATAGAATTCCAGAAATGCCTAAAGAATGGGTGTTCAGAGAAGGCTGGACTAGGTATGGAAAAGAAATTGAACCATGTGATTATCCTAAAGAGAAAGTAATGATTTTTGATGTTGAAGTATGTTGTAAAGAAGGTGAATTACCTACCTTAGCCACTGCTGTTACATCAGAAGCTTGGTATAGTTGGGTTAGTAAAGACTTGATCAGCTGCAATACCAGGTCAGGTAGATATCTTGGTTATTCGTGTAAAGATCTCATTCCATTAGAGACATCAATTAGATCCAAAGAGAAAATCACCGAATGGTCGAACACTCCCAAGTTGTGTGTAGGCCATCATGTTGCTTATGATAGAGCTAGAATTATGGAACAATATTGGCTAAATCGTACAGCTCTTAGATTTATAGACACTATGTCTCTGCATATTGCCATAAGTGGAATCACTAGTTATCAGAAAACATTATTAAAATCAAAAGATGTTATTGAAGATGAATCTTGGCAACAACACAGCTCATTAAATAGTTTAAATGAAGTGTATAAATTATATTGTAAGACTCAGTTGTCCAAGAGTGATCGTGATACATTTGTTAAAGGTTCATTACAAGATATTAATAATGATTTTCAAAATTTAATGACCTACTGTGCAAATGATGTTAGAGCTACCACTGAAGTTTTGAGAAAACTCTGGCCTTTATTTTTAGAACGTTTTCCTCATCCTGTTACGTTAGCGGGTATTTTAGAATTGGGYACATCGTATTTGCCAGTAAATTCAAATTGGAAAAGGTATCTGGACACTTCAAATGAAATATATGAAGATCTAGACATTGAATCCAAATTTTTACTTTCMCAACAAGCAAATCAAGCTTGTCAATTAATGTATAATGACAACTATAAGAGAGATTTGTGGCTCTGGGACCAAAATTGGACATCTAAGGTGTTGAAACTAAAAAAAGAAAAAATAAAGAAACCCGAGATTACAGTAGAAAATAAACCTATAGAACCCGAAGACATTTATGAAAAGAGATTCTTTGAATTAGAAAAAATGTTCAAACCATTGATGGCAACAAGTGAACGATTGCCACTTAAAACACCTCATCTAGCTGGCTATCCAGAATGGTATAGAAAATTGTGTGCGCCTCCCAAAGACCCACATTGGGTTCCTGGTCCAATACTTATAAGCTCTGGTATGCACCTTGTTCCTAAACTGCTTTCTCTTATGTGGAAATCCCTCCCTTTACATTATGTAAGGGGACATGGTTGGGGCCAACTTGTACCATATGAGACTGATATAAAACTTCCAGATGCTGAATTGGTACCACTTAAAGAATTAAAAGACCACTATATTAAAAGTAATGTATCTTGTGACTGYCAAATAAAAATTAATAATACTGAACTTCATGAAACCGTTCAAACWAATTTAGTTAAGTATGAATGTATTTTCAAAAAAAAAAACCTAAGAACTATAAGGAATAAACCTTGCAAAGAAAATTTATCAACAGGCTGTGGTATGTTGAAACTTCCACATAAAGATGGAAATCATTTAAATGTCGGAAATCCACTTGCACGAGATTTCTTAAATAAATTTTCTCAAAATGGACTATCTGGAAAGGACAGTAATGCTGAGCACATTATAGAAATATCACGTATGCTATCTTATTGGAGGAACAACAGAGAACGAGTTGAAGGACAAATTGTTGTTTGGACTGATAAATCACAAGGATATGGTGCCATCATACCACAGGTTGTTGTTTGTGGAACGTTAACTCGTAGAGCAGTTGAAAGAACATGGATGACTGCTGCTAATGCTATCGATGAACGTGTTGGATCAGAATTACGTAGTATGATTCAATCACCTCCAGGTTATTCATTAGTTGGAGCAGATGTCGATTCTCAAGAACTGTGGATAGCATCTGTTATTGGAGATTCTTATTATGCAAAAGAGCACGGTGCTACAGCTTTTGGGTGGATGACACTCTCTGGTAGGAAAAGTGATGSAACTGATATGCACAGTACAACTGCTAAAGCTATTGGAATTACAAGAGATAATGCAAAAGTATTAAATTATGCTAGAATTTATGGGGCAGGAAAACCATTTTCAGAACGATTATTAAAGCAGTTCAATCCCGACTTAAGTCCTGCACAAGCAAAGCAAAAAGCAATAGCCATGTTTAATATGACAAAAGGAAACAGAATATACAAACTTCATGACACTGTCTTACCAGAAGTTAAAAAAAGAGAGCATTCCCGACTAGGTGCTCAAGAGTTGTGTACCATTTATAATAAGAGTGTTGATGAATTGTTTAAAAAACCTATATGGAGTGGAGGTTCAGAATCAGCAATGTTCAACAGTCTTGAACAAATCGCATGTTCAAAACAACCAAAAACACCATTTTTAGAATCTAGACTTAGTCGAGCTTTAGAAATGAATGGAGTAGATATAGATAAATTTATACCTACCAGAATAAATTGGGTCGTGCAAAGTGGTGCTGTTGATTTCCTTCATTTGATGTTGGTCTGCATGCGTTGGTTAATCCATCCTAATGTACGGTTTTGCCTAAGCTTTCATGATGAAATACGTTATTTAGTACCAGATGAACATCGTTATCAGACTGCATTAGCTTTACACGTAACAAACTTACTAGTAAGAGCATTTTGTGTTAAAAAATTAGGTATGACTGATTTGCCACAGTCAGTAGCATTTTTCAGCTCCGTTGAAGTTGATACAGCTCTTAGAAAAGATGCTCTAAGTGATTGTGTTACACCATCTAACCCACATGGATTATTAAAAGGCTATGGAGTGCCAATTGGAGAATCATTAGACATTATAAAAGCTATTGAGTTGTCTGGTGGAAACATTGGCATGTTTAAAAAGAAAAAAAGGAAAACTGATAAGATGAAAGACTGAACTAAAATAATAAATTTATATTTAAGATTTATGTTAATATAAAAAATKATTTTGTAAATATTTTGTTTATTAGGTGTTATTTTTTACAGAATGTCTAGGGCAACTAAACGTAAACATGTGCAGAAAGAAATGCTCACTGCTGAATGGAATGGTCCAATAGATGATCAGCGCATTGTTCGCATAGTTGCTGGTCGTGGCAACAATCTTCATGAAGTATTCTCAGTAGAAGACAATGAAACATTTCTTGTTTCAATGCCAGCTAAATTCCGACGAAATGTGTGGGTGAAACGTAATGATTATGTTGTTATTGAACCAATAGCTGAAGGAGATAAGGTACGTGGTGAAATTGTACGTGTGCTGACTAAAGATGACATGAAACTAATGAAACAAAAAGGGTGGAAGAAGGACGACAATTGTGATATCGAAGCAAATACAAATCGCCCTGTTGTTACCACTATCAGCGACTTGAGTTGTACTGATACAGACACTGATCATGATGACCCATCAGAAGATACAGATTATTCTTCATAATCATGGAAATATAATTTAAAAAAAATATGTATAATAAAATTATATTTCCATTATTATGAAGAATAATCTGTATCTTCATAATCATGGAAATATAATTTWAAAAAAATATGTATAATAAAATGTCAGTACATGTAATTGTGCCAAATAAAGACTATTCTGTTATTATAACGTAATGTGATTTATATATTAAGTTTCAATTTGGAAAATACATTTAAGTAATTGTAAGTACTACTATAACAGTGTGTAAGTAATTGTAATGGTTTGTTCTATATTAAATCTATTGAATTTTTTATAYGAAAAAAATTTAAATTTAAATAAAGTGAATGATAATTTATTTGGTCATTGTTTGAATGCTTAACTTAATCAATCATATTTATATGATGTAGCAAGCTGATATCTAAATTAAGCATAAATAACTAAAAAAATGGAAGTGTTGATGTTTAAATATAATATGTAAGTTACCTACACAATTAGCTTTAGTCATAGTCTTTAAACCAGAATCTCTGGTAGGTATTTTTTGGTTTGTTTAAAAATTTAATATCAGATTACTCTATTATCTTGCAAACTAAAGTCTAGTATTCAGTTAACTCATTCAGAACAGGGTGGCAAATAAAAATGGTGCCTTAGATATGTGGCATATTTTTGGTTAAATTTTTTAAATTTTTTAAATCATTAAATAAAAAATATTTTTAAATAGCACTGAACCATAATAGTAGTCAATTTTAATAAATTCATGACATCAGGTGGTTTATTAACTAACTAGCTATGGTGATCAGCAAAACTAACCACAATTGAAAAAAATWAAAATGTACTTTTTTTTAGGTATTAACTGGAAAAATTATGCTGTACTGACTATTATTCCGGAAAGAGTTAAGCCTTAGATACATTTGTAAATGAAAAAATTAACTTGTATAATGCACCTGTATTTTCTTTTATTGGTATAAGTAAATTTCTTAAACTTTTTTATTTGTGGTACTCCTACTTTTTTTAGGATTATTTGTAAATTAATTATATTATTAAGTAGAACTATAGATTATTCCATATGGCTTATACATTATTATTTAATGTACAAGTATTTTTTTCCACAATGGATATTTTAAAGTAATTTTCTTGAAATTTTTTTAAAAATTACTTAAGCTTCGCAAAACCCTGAAGTGATGTATGCGGAACACAGTTTAAGAAACGATGGTATAATGAATAGATCTATAGCAGAGGTATTCAAACTTTTTCAGCGCGCGGCTCCTTTGGGTTTTCAAAATATTTTTACGGCTCCCAAATTATTTAAAAAAAATTAAAACAACACACGGATACAAAATGGGAAATATGCTATATGGGTKATAATAATAGTGATTAGAAATAAGACTTCAAATGGTCGAATCGTAAGGTGTGTTGTTTTCATTTCCATAATGATTTCAAATAATATTTATAATAATTATACAAGACCTAGGTATGATGTTGGTTGTCGGTGCTTTGACATGGCTCCCTTGCAAACTCTCGCGACGCCCTTGGGAGCCGCGACGCACAGTTTGAATACCTCTGATCTATAGAATTATAATGATCTTATTTTATTATTGATTCATCATTTGTAAATCATAAGTCATACAATTCATATTATAATAATTGTCTATGATAGTGATTAAGTTATAATGAGCTTGTTCAATAAGTAAATTTCAAGTTTTCAACTATTTTATACTAAACATGATGACCTGTGTCATAATACATGTATTATAATTTAAAATAGTGACTGAATATTTTCCATCTATTTTGATAATTGTACTAATAAGAAAAAAAGTTATATCAAATTTATGACCATTTATAGTCCAATTTTCAGACAAATACTGAATAATATTTAACACTATTAATACTATTATCATAGTTAATGATAATTACTAYGGCTGAAAAAAAGACAACAATATTTTTTTATAAATATTAATATTTAACAAAACATATTCTCACTTATATAGGCACAACTCATTACGACTTTATATTTCAGTAGCTCAATATTATTATCATTATTAGCGTAGAACTAGTTTTTTTTTTTTTATAAAATAAAATTACATAAAAATTTTTTTTTTACAAAAACGTGTAATTTAACTATTTTTTTATGTTTATATTATTTTATACTTATACAATTCATTTATTTATTTATAATAGTAATAATTTATAGTAATAAACTGTCTTCTACGAATAAAGGCCAGCATAAATTTAAAAGCGCAGTTCAATGTCAACCGATTTTAAAATTATATGAACATATTGGTAGTTTAAATTTCATTWGGTATGAAAAAAAGGAAAATGGAATTTTATAAACATATTGTTTCATTACTTTTAAGTACAAGTTTACATGTTTAGGTAACAACATGTGGTTCTGAAATAAAATCAAACTATTATTGCTCGTAATGCTGAAAATCACTGTCTATTCAGATATAATCAGTCATACAATTAAGTAAAGTTAAGTTTATATTGGAGGGAGAATAGTAAAAACATAAGACTAATCGGCATACCATTAGAGAGACTTGCGCTTACTATATGATATTAAGGCTTATATGTTGTTTTTTAAACTGGCGTATAATTTCCAGAAGGTTTGTAAAAGAACTGTCCACGCAGTATACGTCTGAAAAGTTCTTTTCTCAGTAATTGTTTTTCCTTGACCAACTTCTTTAGCACACCCTTATTCTCCATTGCTCGGCGAGACAGATATGGTAGAACTTCGTTGACTGGGCCATATGGTATATACTTGTACGCCGAATATCCTGCTTGGCCTGTAAATTTCAACAAACATTTTACTACTTTAATGCTCAACAGAGTAATGTTTATTATGAAAATATTTTTTATGTAACATACCCAAGGGGAACGTGATRAAGTCACACATGCCAAGCAGCTGTCCGAAGCAGATAACTTTGTCTTCAGGTGAGATTCCGATTTCTTTCATTCTGATAAGCGAGGAAAACAAAAACGAAAAATGTTTTATGAAACAAATTTTAAATTATTAAGTTGGTGGTGGTTTTCATAAATGATGAGTACTGTTGTTTTGTTTTATTGTTTTGTGTAATATCCATTTCTGCATTTTATTCCAGTAATCGCACTTGTATTGGTTGGCGTTGGAAATGTTTTTTTAGACACTATTCTATGTGTCTCTGCAAAATTTATCAAATTAACAAACGTAGCCTAACCATTTCTAACCCCGTTTTGATTTTTACCTACCGCATTACATTTTAGGTATAACATTGAAAGGTTCACTTTTAGTATTGGAAATAATGTCAAAATGACATAAATAAATATATTAATATGAATATTAGGAATATGTTAATTTTACTCACTGTGATAATGCGAAGCGGACTGTATCTTCGTTATGTGATGCAACCATTATACCAATCTTGCTGCACACATCACCTTTATCTTTCAGTTCCTTAATACGTGTTAAACACTCAGTCAGCGTTTGGTGATAGGTTTCTGTCGTAGCTTCATATGATGGATTGGTTGGATCAGCATAGCCCAGTGCAGCAGCTCTTGCCCTCTCCTTTAAAATAATTCATATTTTTTATGCTACTGAAATAATTTAATATTAACCAAGCCAATAAATAACATTAACAATTATCAAAAAAATATAAACCCCTCTAGATTATTATTTTTTATCACTGTTAAAATATGCCAACCTGCTTATTCACATTTATTAAGGSGATTCAATACCGTAATTTTCTGTCATTGTCTAGCACATGCGCGTCATAGGATTTTAGCCGTATTTTTTGCCAAACATACTGATGGCTATAGCGAAGCGATAAAAATTATAAAAACATATTTGAATTTRTCATCAAATCTACTTGAAATCGACTTTCCCGCATTTTTGATTTTAACTTCAACAAAAATTTAAAAATTACAATTTTTAATATAACATAAGCATAACATTAATTAGAATTTGGAAGATAATATCAAAAATGTTGAAAAGTCAAACTCAAGTAGTCTTGACGACAAATTTAAATCTGTTTTTATAATTCTTGTTGCTTCTTCACTATTTCCATCGGTATGTTTGGCAAAAAATACGGCTAAAATCCTATAATGCGCATGTGCTAGACAAAGACAGAAAATCACGGTATCGAATCCCCTTAAGATATAAATAAGTACTATTAAAAATTAAAACATCATTAATATTTATTAAATTAAAAAATACAAGATTGTGACATTACAATTTAAAAATTTGATTACCTGATCAATATATGCACCCCGCACAAGTTTGGCTCCAAAATAGAATTTTTGTCTCTTAGCTTGATTTAAATCAGTCTTGACTTCGTTAAGTGTTTCTTTAAGGTAACATTGGTATGTATTAAACACAATAGCTTTTTCCGTATTATACTTTTGCATCAATTCAAGAGTCAATCTAGATATAGCTGGTTGAAAATATGTTTGTTCAGCATCAATCATTATACGAACATCTAGATCTTTAGCAGTCTATTTAAAAGTGTTATWCAAAAATATAATTTATGTCTATTTGGTATAACTTATGATATAATTAATAAATTAACTAAAATTGTATTTATTACCTGAACTAATGTATTGAGTCGATGAACCATATTACGGAACATTTCCTCTTCTTTTTTAGACAATTGAGATAATAGTCTGACCATACGGCCTTCTTTTAAGCAAGGGACACGGAACGAATCACTTAGTTCAGAATTTTCATCTAACAAACCACTCCAAGGGAATAAATGAATAACACTTAACAAAAAATAATAATGTCAATGTTTTAAATAAAAACAAATGTTTTAAATCTCTAAATTTTACCCTTCACTGTCTTTGGTGACTTTTTCCAAAAATTTTTTAGTATCCTTGATTCCAGCTTGGAACAAACGTTTGTCTAACTCCTCAAGAGTGAGATGCTGACCAATCACATTACCTTTGCCACCCATAATTTCACTAGCTAATGTACGAGCCCTCATAATTACTTCTGACAATTGCAACTGTAATATAAAATTAGTATTTTTAGTTTGATGTGTATTAACATTTAATAATAATTGAAATTATATTGTTTTAAGCACTATGTAACCCTGCATGTGTAATTGCCCTCCATCCYGGAAACATACAATAAAGTAAAATTTTAGYTAACAATAATCTGGGCAGAAGTTTTCATTAATTTATTTAAATTATAACCTAAGTTATGTGCATTATAAAACTAATTTTTTTGTAAATTAAAATATAAATAAAAGCCTCCGAGATGTCCTAAATAATAATCTTACATTTAAACTTTGTAATAGGCCAATTCACTAACATTTAAACACTAACAGAGTAAAATTGATTATTGTTAATGTAAAATTTGCCATGTTGTATTACTAAGACAAGATTACACATAAAAACTTACCCAAAAACTMTATTTCAAATCTAAGTATTTCTTTGAAAGTAGTGAAAATTGATTCAAATTTTAAGAAATGTTATTAGATGTTCAAAACTGTCGATAATAATGAATAGGAATTTACTAATTTTATTTTGATTATAATAATATGGATTACTTTAGCTTATTAATTTTGTAAGTATTTATCGTTTCCAGTTATGAATCCATTCCAAAAATTGGAAATACGGGGTAGGAATGTAGAATTATTAAAATGTGTTGGGATGTCAGTAAGWAAAAACACATTAAATTTGTAGTAAGTAGTAGCAAATAAATAATATTATAATGATTTATAATTTAAAATTTACCAAAAGTTGAGGACGTCCAAGAGCTGTTAATTTGATTGCTGTAATTCCTGTTCCATAGGTAGCACCTAAACAATAATATAAATAATTTTAATTTAATTTAATTTAATTTAATAATCTGTTATGAGTGTTATTGTATCTAATTATTAAAATTATGTAATTTGTTAACATTTTCAAAAGGGTTTCAAACCTGTTTATTATCAAAATACTAAATATAAAATTATAATATTTAATCATATGAATAATTATTAATATTAATTATTTACTTTACCAAACTATTTAGCTCACTGTACAGTATTAAAAATAGTGTTTTTTTGTGAAAAAATAAATGTAAATGTTTTATATTTAGTATATTTTATATTGTTTAAATAAAATACAATGTGAACTCATCTAATTATCTTTAAGAGGACCCTACACCCGCATGTGTGGTCTATATGTAACAAAAGTACAACATAGCAAAAATTGTTTTGCGCTGAATAAGTTTACTACCACTGTATTTAGAGTAGATTTACCATAATTTTTCAATGTATAGGAATAACTTTATTTGTATTGTAGCGTTTTAATATTTTTGATAGCACTAACCAATATTACATACATTGTATATAATAATTAAATGAAAAAAACAAAAAACAACTTACATTCTCAAACTGATTGCTTTAATTGTATTCATGTTATCAAAATTATAAAAACGCCAAAAGGCAGATTAAGYTTTTCTCTATGCATTCTGAAATTATGGCAATTCTTCTAAAAATACAGGAGTAAAGCTGTACTGCGCCAAACAGTTTTTGCTAAGTTGTAAGTTTGCAAAAGACAAAGACAACACAACACAATGTTGACATCCTCATAATATATTTATTTTAACATTTAGATAACTAGTAACATAATTGTTTCAATTTGTATTTAACAAATTAACAGGGTGCAACCCCCTATTCCGTGGATAATGGACAGTTGACTATTATTTATTAGTTATATGTTATAAATAATAATACTGAGTGTAAATATCAACTTAGATAATATGATATAGGTTTTAGCGACACCTTTCTATTACAATTTAAAAAGTGTCTAAATATATCTAATAATTGTAATTATTATAAAATTTTCAACCAGAAACGCTCATAAATTTGACATTAACCTTTAACAGTTTTTATCACCCGTCATCCACATCGCACCGTACCATCTTCCAGTTTTAACAAAAACATTTAACACGCTATTTTTAACTAATTAAAGTTATTAACAAATATTTGAGCAGATATTAAATTAGCTCTAATTTAATTCATTTAATGACTTAATAATTTTTTAAAGTAGGCCCCTAATTATTTTTGAACTTATATCAATTGTGTAGTTTTAAAACGTAAATTATGTTGTTGGAATTAATAATGAGGAGCAGCTTTAGTGGCCATAGGTTTAAATGAACATTAAAGCTTAATCAACCCCCTAGTTATTTTCTACGTATGATTTATGATTACCAATGCACTATCCAACATCAACACTTTATACTGCTGTCGCACTCAGCATAATACCACTAGGTAATCTAAAACGAAGAAGGTAATCTTAAAATTTTACTTTCATTTAAATTACAAAGCATATTTTCAATTTTGTTTTATATAGTAGAATATATTTATAAATGTTATAAATAAAAGAATGTAAGAGACCAATTTGTTACACCATTAAATGTTTTCATACTCTACCGCACCYCTTCCCTGAAATAGGAAATTTGGTACCCATCATTATGAGTCCAGCAAAACAATTTACTGTTGTTATCTTTAATATTTGAGTAAATTGATTTATTATTAAACTAGAAGGTTAAGATTTTAAAACACATTAAATACCATGCCTATTTCAGTATGAAAAAAAAAATATATCTGCATTTTTAATTAGTAAGACATATTGAAATATAACATAATGTATAAATATATGACATAATTATTAGAATTTAATCTTGTTTATTCAACCAATAACAAAACCAAAATATAAATAGTACAATWGTTATAACAAAAGAAATTAATTAAGTTTTATAAATTTGTAAAACATAATAAAATAATCAGCCCCTTTTTTTAATAATACAATTTTTATCTCAACCTACAACAAAAGAAGTTTAAAAACTTAACAACTTTGGCACTTTAACAATTATTAACCTTCGTGAAAACAATAAAAACATATAGGTACCTAATATAAGGAAATATTTATGTTTTATTTTTAAGTGAATGAGAATCAAAAACGCATGACAAACTTGTAGGAACTTTACAAATTTAAAACATAGTTTTAACATTAATTAATGATTACATGTATTTTTTATAGTAAATGTAGTGATAAGAAATAGCTGATAAATTGCGTTTATCTAAAATATTATTTATTATATTTGATACTAAAAACGGTAAAAACAATTAAAAATTGAAGGTTTATAATTAACATGTAATGATTAATTAGGTACAACCTCCTTTAATTTATTTATTATTTATAACTTTATWAGATATACAAATATTTAAATGCTAAATGGAGCATTTTGTTCTATAGATAACAGAGAATCTGATAGTGCGTTATTTTTACGGTTACTGAGAGGCTATTTGATCCCACGAGTCGACAAAGACAACATAGCCTTGAGGGACAAATTGACCCCTCATGGCCCACTTAAAAATTTTACTGAGGGACAAAAATGACCCTCACGGCAGTCAATGTATCAAAAATTACCCATAATTGATTTTTACAGTTATATTTAAATATCATAAGAAATTCAATATGCAAAGGCAAGTAATGTTCTTATTTCTTAACTTAGTTTTATGATAAATAATTCACTCTAAAGTCTAAGGTAATAACTAATAAGTAAAAACACCTCAACACAAGGTTGGTTCCGCCGAGCCCCAATTTGCTTTATCATGAGTATAGATAACAGAGGAAAAACAAGTGGAACGCTGGCCACTTATAACCTTTTAAATTCTTACAAATATGATTTAWAAAAATATACTATAGAATACAAAATTTAACTTTATAATTTAAATCAAAGTAAAATAGTTTAAAACGATCAACATGCAGAGCCGCGTTAAACGGGAGACAATTGTGCAGGAGCGGCAAATTTTTGAGGATCGACATAAAATAAATATATAATCTAAGTTATAATTTTCATAAAGGCAGCATATTTTTATTTGCCTCGAGTCGGCAACATAGATTAACGCGGCACTGTCAACATGATATAATATAAACATTATTGTTATAAGCATTTAAAATTAATTATTATTTACATAGMACAAACAATATTGTTGGAGATGGCCATCAAAAGATTTTAGTAATTTCGTGAAAAGTGTAAAACTTGCAGAGAAATATTATGAAAACGGAATTGTATAACACAATATGTCAGTCAGGCATACAGGTCAAAACCATAAATTCAAGTAATTTAGTACCCATTTAAGTTTAAACGTTTGTAAATGTGATACGGATACCTATAATATTGACAGMCATATTTTTTGATAATGATTAATTATCAATTGTATATCTGTTTACTATACTCAATTAAACTTCAATTGGATTAGAACAAGTTTACGATAATTCCATTATAAGGATTTTTGATTTGTTTGTAATTTTAATTATAGCATATACTTAGTTATACAAAATGAACAGCAAGCATTTTATATTTAGAACAAGTAAAAGAATCTCTGAATCTATTTTATTTTTATAGCGGTATTTATTTTTTATTTATTTAYGGAGAAAAAAAACCCATTCTCAAAAAAATTAAATATAAATACGTTTAAATGGTATATAATATTATACAGTGATAAATTATCAACTAATACCTGCAATATTTCCCTTTAACATTTTATTAATCAAAATAGACAATTTGYATTAAAAACAATAATTTTACTGTACTGTCTGTACTATAAGGAATTTATGTAACATATCAGATAACTAATTTTGTAATTAAAAACTAAGTGTTATCGGGTTAAAAATAAATATAATTTTATATTATATTACATAAATCTGTTTTCAAGTGATTGAAAATGAACAATGCAATGCTAATAACTTATAATAGTTATATCATAGATTAATAATTAATCCATACATCAGTTTAATCTGTGGTTATATGTAATATCACTAATATCATAGAATATATTTTTTTTAGATAGATTTATATGAAAAGAAAAACATGTCCTTCCAAAATATCAAAAAAATTGTCTAAAGATCACAAAATAGGTCAGTAAATTGAAAAGAAAAATGTTTTCTAGATTACTCCTTGACCCGCAATAAAGCACTGACCAACGACTAATGACTTATTCTATTATTAGGCATTGGTTTGGTCACAAAACAAAACTTAGTGTAAGTACGACTACGTTGTGTTAATACAACTTTTGACATTTCTATTCGATAAKTTTTTAAAGTAAAACAGAATACGTATGTTTGGTATACTTCCAAAATATTTATTATCTTTAAGAATATTGCAGTTTTAAATTGTTATAAGTGTCATTTTTGTTTTTTTTTATTTAGTGTCAGTTTTAACCGTTATATAACACTATATACAAATAGCAACATAATATATAGAAATCATCATCGTTTAAGTAATCTGATAAATTAAGAGTATGCGTGCTCAATTGTATCCATTACGTATATTAATTGAATATTTTCTACTTATCTAACACATTTTACAAGGTTTTATTTTATGTTTATTCATTCATTAATAATTAAAATGTTTAATCAATCTTACCGGCTACTGCGTGTAGGCAGTTGGTGAATACTTCCATGTTACGTTCACAAGTAGCTTCATTCAGATAGAAATATGTTCGAGCACTCTGCACCTTGTACCTTCTATCCGCGAACTGTTTATCCACGTGGTACTGTGGTAGAGAACCTCCAACTGTTTCCGCTAAAACAGAACCTGTCAAATAGGAACCACCCAAAAACAAAAATGCATGCGTTAATCAAATCAAACATAAAATTAATTAAAATGGAAAACACTTAATAGGTAGTAGGACCAGCAAGTTTTTTCTCTGTATAACAAACGGATAACCATGGAAAAATGCAGGTATGGTAAATCAGTATTTCAGATTACTTGTTATCAGATGTACTCAAAATTATTAATAGTGTAATAGACACTTTTACAGATTTAATTTTACARTACTATACAGTTATTTTAGGCATAAGACGGTTATCAAATATTTTACAAAATTATTTTAGTTAAAATAATATTGTAGATATTAAGAAATCAAAAAAAAAAAATTGTCATTTTTTTTCTAGTCTTCAGTTTTGTAAAGTACATGCATAAAATAATTCAAAAGTATTAATATACTTCTTAAGTAAACATTCAAATGCGTTCTTTAAATACTTTTTTTGAGTAACCTGTATTTAAAAATCAATTTTCTTATTTTAACTGATATTTATTAAAASAAAACAAAACATGAAAATAATCTATAGACAATAATATAAACTTTGCTAGAAGCTTTATTTTCTGCTAGAGATATTATAATATTTTTATTAAATAATAATATAAGTTTGCAACATATTATGTATTTTTTATGCATCAATTTAAATAGACAACACACCCAATTATCAAAACTCAATTGACCTACCTTAATTGAACATAATATACTTTACTAACTATAGTGAAATTACGTGAGATATCTTATACACCAGGTAATGGAGTTTKACACCCGGACCGATTACTCCATTTAAGAAATTAAGTATTAATATCATTAWTAAATAATTATAATTTATAGTTGATTCTAATTGTATAAGTGACAAAAAATTATGAAAGAAAAAATCTATTTTAATCGCATCTGGCCAAGATTTCTCATGGAAAGAAAATTCAAAATAATATTATCTTATGCTTGTTTAGTAGATTAAAAAATGAACACAGACTTATTAAACACAAATTTGTCCATTTGTTGACAACACATTAACCGAGCAGTTAAATAAAATTCAAAYAACTGATGTTTGAATTACAACTTTAAGATGGTTAATAAAAGTTTACCTTCTTTTTTAGCAGCATTTTGGTCTCTTTTTTCAATTTCTGACATGCTTGATCTAAAAATAAATATTAAATGTTAATAAATCCCATACAATAGGTCTAAAATAGTTATTGTAATGTCATAAAGTTATATACTTATATATATATATATAATTCTACTTATAAATACCTACATAATACAGTTTTCATTGAAATAAAATAATATAAACTATACCTTGATACATACATTCTAAGATAGCATTATCTAATAATAAATATATTTTAAAAACTATTACTAACAACATTAAGATTCAATTTTATAATAAATTATAACGTTATGACGTTATATATGTTTTATACGTATACTCTTAGTTACGCTGTTAATTAAATAAATAAATAGYATAACCATTATTATTGACTAAATTGAAATATTGTGTATAACATAGTTTACTGGAATGTGTATATTACACGCAAATTGTCTGCAAGCACATTTAACATAATATGTTATATAATATACAGGTGATCAGACGGCCAGTATATACCTAATTAAGTAAATTTAGAAAAACAAATTTTATGTACTAGAACAGAATTAATTACATATTATTAACCTTCTATAAAACTTATAAATATAATAGAGTAATTATTAATAAGAGCATACCAATTAATATTGAAGTAAAATATAATTTGAGATAAATTAATAAAATGGTATTTAAAAAAAATTATTTCAAATTCTAATTTTATCAAAACTAAATATATTTAATAATTAAAATGGTATTTAAAAAAAATACTTTTTTTAACTAGGCCTTTTGAAACTCATTAGTAATTCGATTTTAAATCATTTTATAACTAAAACACTAAAACAGTATGTACAGATAGTTTATATATTATACAAAAACATAGGYTATAAATTTATAAAAAATGAATTTAGGTCTTCTATATTTATTATTAAAGAAATTCACATTTTCAAAAAAAAAAAATAAGAAATGTAACATATAGATTCATTTAAATACTAACTGTCAGTGTTAAATTTCAGAAATGTAAGTACCTAATAAAATTAAAAAATGAGGCCACACCCGTGAGTGTCCGTCTTACAAATTTGAACCACTAGCCAACARTTAAATTTGTGAGTACCTAGTATCCTTTAATAAAATARTTAACTGACCTATATTTAAACCTAAAGGTAAGAATATTGTCTGTGWTTTCACATGCGTTTTTTATGATATTCGCGTCGTGTGTTAATTACATGGAAAATGGATCGATCTACTGCAACAGTTTTTGGCGTTGTGTGTTATCAAAATTATTCCACCCCACAATAGGTCATCTGAGTATTTTTTCATCAAAGAAAATCTTTTCATGTCATCAAAGAATTGTTCGAAAAGGTTCTTAGAGGCATTGAGTTAGAGTCACTATTTATCCATCATTTGAGATGTTGCAAAAATTTTGGTGGAACCACGTATTTTTATTTGACTTTAAAACGTCTCGTAGATTATACAGATTGAGTATGAAGTGAAACTGATGATTTACAGTTTTATGCATATATCCGTGGTCATTAAAGTAACTGTAAGCCAGCCCATTCGTCCCRAGTGAATTGTGAGCCCAATTTCTACTTTACGCTTAACAATGGGAAGTAATGTACGTACCTAGCTCTAATAATACAATTCGAACACCATGTACTCTCGTAACCCATAATTTTATATGACACTTAAGTTGTTGTAAAGTGTATGCTGTGGAGTGTAGGTACTATGTTTAAAAATATATAGTGAATTTCAAGTTAAAACCCTAATAAATAAAATAAAATATACGACAATGCAATTTTGTGCAACGTAGATATAAGATTGTATTGGTGGGACAGAAATAGATTTATGAAATTTGCGTAATAATAATTGCTATTCAAATTATTTTTATGGGGGGCTGACGTTTGGGGTTGGCCAATGTGGGAAGATCAACAAATGACCTACTATTTCAATATTTTAAACGCATTAACTGGAAAGGAATAATTCCTGAAAAGTATAATTTTTTACTATCCAACCTATCTTCAGAGAACGAAGAACCATAGCCGTAAGATAATGTATGTAAAAATAACCTTGTGGCGTGTGTCTAGATTTAAATATAAACATTTTTAAATAAGGTTGAAAAGTTATCGAAATTATTGTATAAAAATATGAGGAAACAAATAAATGTTCCATATCTTGTAATTTATATTTTGCATAATATATTATTATCATTTATCACCGTTAATGGTCAAAAAATATTAAAATTATATCTTTTAACTTTTAAGTACCTATTATATTACGAGTAACGTTTTAAMTTGGATATATTATTTTAATACGAATATATAATACGAGTTATAAGAAAGGGGCCAAAAATATTTTTTATCATATAACAAAAGCACGTTTAAGGCTACGAGTATGACGCTAATATGGGTTGCGTAGTTCGGTTCTATGGCAGTTTGATAAAAAATACCCACTACAGTACAGCAGCATCTCGACTCTGTCAAGTTAAGAAACGTAGCAGCAGCAGACTTGTGCCCAGGGGCGTGGCAATACTAAACGCTAGGTATACAAATAATTGTGGGGATGACAAACGGATGTCGCCTAACTGTGGTCCGACGAAAACCTGTCGTAGCTGACTACGTTTCTTAAGTTGAACAGGGTATAATATTCAGAATTCAAATGCACGAACGAATATAGTTAACGATATGAACGAATGTTTAAGTAATGGATTCTGATACAGGTGTCCCAAGATTCTTTTGGGCCAAGAGGATTTACCCATTGCGATATCTCCCGAAATAGTGGAGATATCAAAATGTTGGTTTTGTAATAAAACTCACAGCGATAAGACTACAATTACTTCATATTTTATTTTTATTTCTTAGTAGAAAAGTTAAAAATATTATATTATTTTTTTTATCTAATTATTTCCAAAACAAACATTTATAGCCATTTTGTAGTTTATTTTTCTGGAAATAATAACATTTCAAAATTGTATTTTCATCATTTTCCTGATTTTTAATTTTGAGAAAAATTGTTAATTATTTAACACCGGAGTGTTAGTCAAACATGTGACGCGCCGGCCGAACACTTTCAGTGTACCAAATTAAAATCATATTTTATTTTTTTCAAAATTATAAAAAATATTAAAAATCAGGAAATTAATGAAAATACAATTTTGAAACGTCAATATTTTCAGAAAAATAAACCACAAAATGGTTATTTTTAATTTTTTGAAATAATTAAACTAAAAAATATACTTTTTAAGTTTTTTACCAAAACATTAAAATAAATTTAAAAATGAAATAATTATAGTTCTTATCCCTGAGAGTCTTATTWCAAAATCAGAATTTTGATATCTCCATTATTTAGTGGAATATCGCAATTGGTAAATCCTCGAGGGACACCTTGTACATAACCAATGTATTTACGTTTAAACACACAACAATGTCCGTGAAATAATTATCTACATATTAATAGATTTAATTACCTAACATATTAATTTACCTAAGATAAAAAAAAAAGTAGATAATATAAAAGGTATAGTAAAAAGGTAACCCATATACACAATACATAAAATTTTGTCCTTGGCATTAATYAATTRTATATAAAGGAAAAAAAAATTAACAAAATATTTTTCCTTATGGAATAAATACTTAATGAAACTGAGTTCACTAATTCATAATTGGTGTCATGTCTATAAAACTTGATTCTTATATGTTCTTTAGATTGCACAAATTGTAATTGTTGTCCCTGCCTTACAGTGCATAGAATAGTTGAATAGTTTTATTTGACAAGTTCATTATACAATTTTAAATAAATTAAATTACCTCATTTTTTTTTTTTTTTTATATTTGTATTTAGTTATAAGAGTATGATATTAAAATTTAAAAATTATCATAACTTGCTTTTAGGCGTAGATCAATTTAATGTAAAATCTGAATTAACTTAAAACTTAGTTTTATGATATAAAATAGTTAATAATATGCTAAATTATATAAGTAGAATTTAATGTTAACACAGTTAAAACTTAAAAAGATCTTTTAGTTTTAGATAAGTATTAAGWTTCATATAGGTCGTAAAAAAAAAATGTAGGTGCCTAAGGAATTTTTAGGAAATTGGATAACAAAGAGTCTAAAATGGAATATTATTATATTGATCTTTTGTTGAATTATACTAAAACATAATTGCTATCTATTGTTTTTTTTTATATTACTGGTTTAAGAAATATTTGTATTCTATAAAGTAGATAAGCTTAACAAAATATGATGAAGTAAATAAAAGATCTGATATCTTAATAATATTTTCCGTGATAATCTTTCAACTTTTATAAATCAATGATTCAGGCTAAATAGCTATAAGTATAAATTGTAATTAATATTTAATTCTATCATCCTTGTAAATATCTTATTTATCTARTCTAATAAAATGAATATGTAATAAATCCATACTTACTCAACTTCACGTTTTTCAGCTTCTTCTTGACTAAGATCTTCTTCAACAGAATAATCTAAAATTGGTTTAACACCAAAAGATCTTAAACGTTTCAAAGTAGGAACAATACGATATTGATCTTCTCCCGCAACAAAATGACCATAAAATGTCATTTTCATCATTAATGTGAATAATTTTTCACCAAAAACTGCTTTGCAAAGTTTCATTAGCTAAAAAAAGTTATAAAATACATAATAAGTATATACTATAGTAAAAATTRTTCTAGCAACATTAAATGGACAAACTTTTGGGTCAATTAAATGGATATGACAACATTCCAGTTGTCATTGACATAAAAATATTAAATAGTAATGTAATGTCACATTCGCATGAAGTTATGCAGCAATATAGTTTTGCCTTCTCAGCTAACTATCATAGTTATCTCTAGTGTATATTCATTGAGRGTTGAAATTTAAAATTATTTAGTTTCTTAAAAATTTTCGTTTGAATAAATAGTTAAATATGGTTCTATACAAATTMTAGTCCCAGGTAGTTGACAAAATGTCTTGAAGCACATTGTCAACCAATAAATGATATAACATAAAATTAAGCTCAAAGCCACGGTTATATTGTTTACAGCCCTGGCCAGGCCAACACTGATTTTTATTAAAACTAAAATAATGGTTATAAGATGTTGATAAATATATAAAACATAAATATTGAGATTTTTTTATAATATAAAATATAAATATGAATGTTTATAGTTACTACATAAAAATCATTAATTTATTWAGGTAATCAAAGTATTAAACAATGTAGGTACTTATTAAATTGTAATGGTAAAAATTTATAATACCTAAATATATTATTATCTGTATTATTATGGACCTAACTATTCATCAATTGAATTTTTTGCATTAAAATTGAGATTAATATAGAGATAGTACTTAGGTATGTTACAAAATTTGTTTCATCATAATTCTATTTTAATTTGATAATAATCATAGCATTTTCAAGGTCACATTCGTAAATATCATTGCCTATAATTTTAAATTTCTAAGAAAATTGAATATATTAGACATATTACTTTTAATCAATTTCAAATAAATATAAACTAAAATATAGAAAATAATWAATTATTCAATTTCAATTTTATTATTAGGTACCTAAGTATAGGTATTTTTAATATAAATAATTTTTTAGTTGTAGAGTTAAGTAGATCTCTATTTCTTGATCTATTCTAATTCTTTAGAAAGAAAAAAATAAAGTCAAGAGGTACCTATAGGTAATTAAATAAACAAATTATGATATAGAATTAAATAACCTACCACTTATCTTAAATCAATATTAGTACATTTTAAAAACGTAATTTATTTTTTAATTCATTATACTCCTATTTAAATATCTTTTTTAATTTATATAATTATTTGATTATTATATTGAATATTTTAACTTATCATACAATAGATTATTAGCAATGAATATAATATAGGGTTGGCATTTTAAAAACATTTTAGTTACGGGTTAATAATAATAAGGTGAAAACAATTATTTCACTAAGATCTATAATTTTAATCATCATTTTGAAGTTTTAAGCTTTTGGGTTTCATATCTATAAATTTAATTTTTATTATATAATACATTGAAAATTATTATAATTTTCAAAAATATCTTAAATATAGAAAATACAAATTTAAGCATAAAACTAGTAGGTACCTATTACTTAATAAATATTGTGATCGGCGAAGAAATGATCTAGATCCCAGATTAAACTGAGTATTGAATCAACATGACATAGTGTGTTTAGAATAGTTGAGGTAAATAAACTACTTAACTTACATTTTAAAATTAAAAYMAATGATGTACCTAGGTACAATTGGAATAATAAGCCCATTAATAACGGGAATAAAAAAGCTTTTACTTTTCTTCAACTATGTCTTATCTATTCTATAATCTTCAATAGGTACCTAAACAATTTTAAACAATAAGTGACAAAGCATCTAAAATATATGTTCTGACATATGCCAAATGAGGCGTACAGACCTATCTTTTATTTTTCATGAATTTGATACATGGGTTCTGTCTATACTCAGCCAACCAGCCATATTGTTCATAATATTAATAAATACAGAGAACATATTTTTAAATATAATGACTCATAATAATAATAATATTATCAATTTTTTTTAAATTAAAATCTATTATATGAGAACAAAAATTAATATGTAATTAATATAACACATAATAATTGACCAATTGACCTATAACTTATTATTTTTTTAATGTTTTTAATTATTTTACAGATAACCTCTACCATAAATTAAATCAATAAAAATGTAGACTTCATAAATTGTACCTTTTTAATATCAATAATAGATTAGAAACATAAGAAAAAATTTAGTTGAAAGAGGTAGAAAACAGGCMTGTTAACTTCAAATAAATTAATAACTGAACAAAAATCTGAGAAAAATCMCTTTGATTTTGCAACTTTAAAAACAAATAAGTAACATTGGAAATCTGTATTGAATAATTAATATGTAGATAAACATAAATACTTAAGTTTAATGTTAGAATTGATTAGATACCTAAGAATATAACAATTACAAGCATGTTTAATGTAATTAAAATATGTGCAAACTGCAAAGTAGTGTATGGTAATTTCTAAACAATATGTGGGTTCCTGGGTACCAAAACATTAATATACATAAATACATAAATTTTGTCTCATCACATTGAATATTCTATGCATGTGTTGTCCACTAAAATACTTAATAAAATAATCCATATAAATAGACTCAACAATATTGAAGTTAAAAACCATAACGTCAAAAGATATGAGAACACTTAACTGTACTCAAGTGACAAGTGTGTAGCTTAATACATCAAGTGGGTACCTATAGATTGCATAAGCCACCAGCCACTGCACAGTGTTACGTGAGCGAGCAGCCCAAGCACATAAGACTCCAAGAATGACGATGAACCTAACCGTGTTTAGATTGACAGTAGGTATTGTTACGGATTGAATCGAAGAGACATGTTTACCTGCATGTTGTTCTCGACGAGATAACTGGACGAGCATAGCTGGTAAACTATGTAAGCTCTAAATATCTCCCAGGTGGTCTTGCTCTTGAACGTGGCCTCCGGGTTTGCAAACGACGTGTCCAGTGGATCGAATTTGGGCCTCGCTTCGTAGGTGGCAGCTGACGAGCTGGACACCACGCTGCTGTTCCTGCGCTGCTGATGCTGTTCAGCGGGTCCATTAGCATTGGTTGTTAGCGACCGCACTAGTCGAGCGTACACGTCGTTCCTGAACGGATCTTGCAATAATATTTGACTGCACTTACGGGATGTAGATATTTTCAGAAAAGCCATTTAACGGATACTCGATTGGGTCGTTCCTCCGGTGTGTGTACTTGTCTATATTACAATATCGTTCACCGCGCGAATATATTATTGCAGACGAATTTTCGAAGACCGACCCAATTCCACTGAACTAAACCGTCAGTGAGTTGTATGCACTAATGAGTGGACGTTCGAGTTCGTGTGGTCCCGTCGGTTGGTTCCTTTGGGTCGTCCGTACGCACGCACTCGCACAACGTAGTCGCTAAAACACACAGATACGCGCTCTCACACGCGGCACGCGCACTCTCGCGCCTGTCCACCGGCTATGGCGCAAAACACACCAACACACACACACACACCAAAACACTTAACACGTCCCACACATCCACACGCACACTCACAACCGCGAGCCGCGTGTGCGCGCGCCGCGAAACTCGCACAAAAACAGACGTCGACGACTACGTTGACCCGCGCGCGCGCCAACCGACTCACGATGTTAGTTTTTTGGATGTGAGGTGGGGAACAGCTCCCAGGAAACAAAATTTACGAAATTAGAAAACGTTCGACGTGAGACGCGTTGGCCCGAGCGAGCTGCAACCCTTTGCGTGAGAGACGCGACGTCGGCACACCGTCAGCGAGCAGATAATATTTATTATAATATATTTTTATTWWTATTTACGTTACACTTTTAAACGTGCTAGCGGAGGGTGAGTGTCGGACGAGTATAGATAACAGGGACTGAGGCAATAGAAGGCTGCGGTAAAAAGTGTCACGCGACACGATTCTACGTGTGATATTGCGATAATATGATAATAATATAATGTATTGACTTTGACTATATTATTATGAATGTCAACGTGCAACTTTCGACGATAAGCCGCCAGACGAAATGTGTTTGTGACTTTGTTACCGTGTCAGCTGCGTGTGTGTATGTATTATGTATTTATGTACAAATTACAAATAATATGTAAAATTGTAAAAGCAGTGCTATAGAGCAGCAAGTCGCAAGAGCGCCGGTCGCTAAAATACATTTTGACCCAGTGCCGCCCGTACGGGCGCCGCCGAATTGCGACTGGCGCGCCGTAATAATGCTGGCGCCGGTGACACTGCGGTAGAACCGCTGAAGCGCGAAGTTTGGGTTCGGCATATTATTCTTTCTTTTTAATTTTTAATATTGTTATTGGCTTTTAAAGGCTGTAATTTAAATTAAATGTTTTCATCCCGAACGATTGAAATCACCACATCGGACATCCCCGTTGGCCGGTGAAGCCAAAACGCAACACGCCATTATATTGAAATCCAGGACGTTTCCCCTCACGCAAAATTTTCAACAATAATAATATGCGGTGCAAATCAATAAATTTAACGAAAGATTAAAATAATAAATAAATATATAATTTAATAATACGTAATAATAACACTATTGCCGAATGCCAATACAAAAGCATTAAGCAATATTATGCAATACGTTTATACGTATACAAATTACAAATGCAGATGAATACATTATGTACCAACTGTTTACGAAATTTTCCATCAAATAACAGTTACACAAATTGTTAAAAATAAATTAATGTAAATTGTAATTAATATAATTCTGTAACACTTTCACGTGACTTTTATTTACCAATCACTATTCATTATCTATTAAAAAGGGTAATAACTAACAAATGTATATAAAACCATAACGTTAGATTATGGTATCGTTAATGATAATCGATAGATTTCGATATGATAATCTTTTATTTMGGGTGAACCAAGGAACCAATTTTCCTATCTATTATTATGTGTAAAAATATATTTATTGGTTCAGGAGGGAAACGTCCAAATACCATTTCATTAAAATATTGGTATTGGTAATATTATTTTTAATCTGTACTATATCGACTGGCAAACCGGAATTTTTTTTAAAGTAGTGTTAGAATGTTATATTTAAATTACATAGTCCGTCACAGTTAAAATCTAGTCATTTAGATCTGAATTAATCTGTATAACGCTTGGGTACTGTCTAACCAATGAATCATAGTATCTAATATGCCTACTTATGCTATAAACTTACATTTTTACATTACAAGGAAATCTGTAGAATACCAAAAGTGGGAAATCATTTCCACTGTTTCGACAATAMTTGACCGAACACAATATTTTTATGCCATTTGAAAAATATACATATATATCTAATACACTTAAAGAATGTGAGTTAAATTGATTTGTGAAAAAAAAGAAACAATTACATAATAAAATACATACTATGAGTCTATAAATACAATTTATTGCCTATTGATGACTGGCGAAGGTTCACTAAGACTTAAACCAGAACGATATATTTATTAACATCATCTTAAAGCTGTACAGTACTTGTAACAAGGTGTACTGTAGTATATTTTTGACTTGGACGTTTACAAAATCAGAACGATCAACGAGGGCCTACAGGCCACAGGGTGTCTATTTTAACTATTTGAATCATAATAAAAAGTGGTATAAATTATTATTATCTAGGCGGGAAATACTATTTTACTTTAAGGCGCTAATATAGGCAATAATGGTGATGTTTAAGGCATTGTTGCATGGCCTAAGATAAGCCATGGTTTGTTGGTCTTCATTGATTAGGTTTGAGTTTCCCGAAATTCCCGTATTATCATTTACAGCATTTGTTATGATTATAACATTATGTTATATTTTTACAAAAACAAATTCWCTTTAAAATATATTTAAAATGCTTGGGTTAACTCAAATTATAAATAATTAGTTGTTATCTAATATATTTTTATGGTTTATACTTCAAGTTTTGTGGATAAGTCAAGAGTTAACAATTTAATATATTTTCACTTTTACKTTTAGCTATAACTCTTGATATTTATAAAAAAATAATGTCTGATAATTTTTCTACCCAAGATATAATAGAATGTTCTGATGATGAAAATTATGGTTTTATACAAAATCAGGTAATTATACTAGAAAATTTAAATAATTTTTATAAAACAAAATAAATATTTATAGGTGGTTTAATTTTGACTAGACAATTTATGTTAGTTTTATTGTTTAAGTTTTTATGAAAACCGTAATAAATAATAATAATTATGGTGACTTATATATATATTTTAAAGTGAAGTGAAATAAATACTTATCAATATGAACATTAAAAACTAATTTAACAATCATGAAATAAAAAATTTTTTGAAAATTTTTAGTTGTTTTTTATTTGATTTGTAAGTTGTTATTGTGACAAATTTGAAATTTCAAATAATATAATCTAATTGTATAGCTTTATTTTAACTCTGTACCTAATTATAGCAAAATTATAAAATATTATTAAAMTATTGATCATTATTTGTGTATTATCATTAGCATTGATAACTGTACCTATGGCAACATATCTAAAAACTGTAAGATATGTGTAGAAATTAGAAGTCATAAAGTTATACCTCATAATTTAAATATTTATTCAAAACTTAAAATTATTATTTTTTTTTTACTAGATTACATTTCTTGTATAATAGGTATTGTTAAATTCTATATTTAAATATATTTTTAATTTGTAGATGAATGAATGTTATCCTGAACCATCTGAAATTTATTCATTGTACAAAACTTTGGAATCGGCTAATGTTACATCTTTAAAACTAGAATGGACTTGTCCTGGACGAAGAGAATTAACACCTGATGATAGTCAAGTATCTCAGAGTAATACTAATGAGCTTTGTGATATTGCAGAGTATGATAGACTTGTTAAATATTTAAATTCGTTTATTTAAAAATCAAAAAATACAATTTATTATAGATCACTGGATCAATCCGATTTTGATTTTGAAGAAGACATATCGCACATGAACTTAAATCGTATGGATGGTAAAAAAGAATTAAAAGGAAGTGCTAAGAAGAAAACTACTAGTTTAGATGCAGTCTTATCAAATATGGCTAGACATCAAAAATTAGACAATATGCTTGATGAAAAATTTGATTCATTATAAAATAAAACTATTTAAGGTAAAGTAAATTTAGATTTACTGAATATAATCTAGGTCTACTAATCTGTTATGTGACCTTTTCCAAATTATAAAAGGAATAATAATAATTTTGCGTTACTTAAAATAATCAAAATAATATTTTAAAACACACCAAATAGTTAATTAAAATGTAAAAAAAAAAAAATTGGTACATTTTAATTYAATAATAATAATATTTTAGAACAATTTAATGTTAAATATCAAATTACTTACAAACATACATTTTTAAAACGTCAAAATARTTTATTTAATGTATTCTATATATTTGTATTTTTTAGATTTTTTAGGTTTGTYGAAGTTGATATATGTTTAACTAGAGTTATGAGAATCAAAGGATATTCAACAGCACCCGACTTAAACACAAAAAAAAGTCGTCTGGGCTGCTCTGTATGTAAAAAAAAAATCATTAATGATACTCCAATTGAAAATTGTTCATCAAAACCCTGGATTGATAAAAAACATATAAAAAACAGTGTTCCTGTAAAAACTAAAAATTGTGAATATATTAAATTAGCACCAACTGATATGTTAAGTCCTAAGATTAGGGAATGTTACTGTAATTATATGGAACAAAAAAAAATTGAATCTTTTCCAAAATTAATATGTTCGAAGCGTTTTAAAACACCACATCTGACTGATATTAATGAAAAGTGGTTGCATGAAATAATTGAATTCAGGCGTCTAAATTGGTTTGATTGTCACGCTGATTCATTAATTGATGAAATTTGTGATCAAAATATCATTCCTCTAAGTAAGTATATTGGTTTTACATTTCTCAAATTGTTAACTTAAAATWTATTAAACAAATAGGCATTATGTTATACCATTATTTMTAATAATATTATTGATATGTAACTTTATTACTATTCAATATAATTTTACCGTGTAAAATTTAGTGGCTAGTTTTAGATTCAAAGCTGAGCGATAAATGTATTGATTTTATGATAATATTTCGTTTTTCAATCATAAATTTTTGAAGCTGTTWAAATATTTCTATTTTTATGTAGTTTATATAAACAGAGATTTATACAAAAAATCAAATTTTTGCAAATGACAAACRATTAGAAAATTGAATTTAGGGTTACTCAAAAATAGTTAATCTTCATACTGTTACAAAAAATATGTGAAACATATATAAACACAGTTTATATTAGTTATTTTAGCAAAAAATAATGTTTTTAGTTATAATTTAATAATATTATTTGTGGCCTTGTTGGTGCTTGAAACTTTTTAAATATATTATTATATCTTATACACACAATGCTATTTTCAAATGTAACATTTTTGTAAAATATTAACTAAATCTACTTTTTTTTTTCTCGTATGGCGCTATGTCCGGAAGTAGGCCCAAAGGCCTAGTTCGGACGCCTGTTTGGCAGAATTTCTATTGGGGCACCCCTGTAGGTTTCTGCCATGCCCCGGAGTGGGGGATGGCGGCACTTATTCTCCGGACACCGTGACTTGCCCGGAGAAAAATGCCGCCTGATGGTCGAGGATCGAACTCGGTCTGGCTGAGACACTACTGAATCTGCTGAATCACTTTTACTAGAATAGCTTTCTTTTATTGCYACATTTATTTTAATATTTTAATATAGTTAGTAGTGTAGCTTGTCAGCCTATCGTTCAGATCAAATGATTTATAATTGAGTTTAAATTCACAAAAATATATCCTACAGTAACTGTCATAACACCTAATGGCAAAATATAAAAATATTTGTTTTCTCAAAAATATGATTAAATTTAAATTATGATTGCAGATATTTCTAACGAAGACAAACCAAATTGTTATCCTCTAAATAATTCAATATCATTAACTTCTACTCATGATAATGAATTAAGAATTGAAAATCCATTTGTATATTTGGAAAATAAAGCTGCAGTTAAAAAACATCTAAATGTACGAAACCAGACTACTGTTTCTAAATGTACTGGTAATTAATCAAGATTTTATGAATATTAAATTATGAGTTAATCACTCCAATCTCATATGTGGTCTCCGTTATAAAATTTAACTACACAAAAAATAATAGTTCAGCCGTTTCAATGTTGTGTTCTTTTTATTTATTATAATTAAACATTATCTGTGTTTTTTTAGTTTTTATAATATTTAAATTTTTAGACTAAATTAGAATTTTTAAATTATAATATTTTTGTATAGGTATATACAATATAGAAAATATTCTTTCTTTTAAGTATACTAATATTAGATASTTCTCTTTAAAGCTAACAACACACAATTGGAACAGCTGAACCTTTATTTTAGAGTTATGCATGTCTGTAAGTGTTTGTAATACATACTGCATATTGCATATTGCATATTGCATATTGCATATTGCATAATGCAGCAGGGATGTTCTCTTGAGTAATAACCATGGTATGTTATATACATAGGCGCTTAGAGGACACCCAATTTCAAAATTAACACCCTCAAATAATGTTCTTGTTTGTGTAACAAAAACTTCTTCCTAAGAAAAAGTAAACTAAAATGATAAAATGCTTAGTTTGCACTCTTAACTTTTTTTTATTGTAATTGTGCCTTTGGTTATATGGTATAAGAGGAAGGTATAACAAATGTATACTTAATTTAAATAATGTTTATATTCTATAAAATTAACTGCCTTTTAAAACTTTAGGTAAAAAAAAAAATCCAAATGCAGTTAATAAACCTTGGATACCACCACCATCATCATCATCACTTCATTATAAATTTTAATTACTTGATTTAAGTTTGAAGTAATAATGTAGATATCACTCTTATAATTTTTTTTTAGTTAAATAGAAAACTTATTATTGTTAAGATTACCTATGCATATAATGTAATATGTAATATATACTGCAGTAGTATAGTATCATTATTGTATATTACTTTTATTTGCATGTTGCAATAAATATTGTTCTACAAGTAWACAACCATRATAGGTATGTTTATGTATATTGTATATATAATTATTACTGTGTCATAATTAGGTATTGTCAAATTTTATGAATAAATTATTTTAGTTTTGATATTATTATTTTTTAGTTATACAATGTAATAAAATGTAATAATAATTAATCTCAAGTATTTTAATTTTAAGCTTAAAATAATTTATTTAGTGAATTCTGAATAATAATTTCATTAAAATAACTATAAATCAGAATAAGTTGTTTTTTATCAAGTACAATATTAGTATTTAATTAATTAAAAATTTGTTCAAATTTGAAGTTCTAATGTTATTGATTTCTATATCTGAACACAGAACACTAAATACACAAAAATACATTTTACTATATGAACTTAAAATTTTAAAAAGGTGGGTTATAGCCAGTAGCGATAACAATTCTAAAAATCRATATGAATTTGTCGTCAGGACTACTAAATGAAATCGATATATTTTTGTAATTTTATTTGTCATATCTAAAAATTTAAATAGGCAAAATTTTTTTACTCTTTTTCAATTCAATGTTTCTAGAAAATTGGGRTAAATACTAAGAATTAGGGAAAACCCATTAGTCAAGTAGACTTGATGACCAATTCAGAATTTTCATCTCTTCATTATATAGATTTTTTCGTTTGACAGAGAACACCTCTAAAATTCTATGTCGCACTTATGTTAGATGAAGATAAAATATCGTGGGTGGAATCCTCTTCACATTAAGTTTGACCGTCAAGAGAAAAATTGAGCTGCATATAATAGTTATTACTTCCATTATTGTGATTAGCCCTGAATGCTGTCCCACAATAATATGTCAATTATTATGCTAATTAAAAAATTTATTCGWTTCGATTTGAATAGGTTCCTACTAATGACATTATAACAAGCATTTTTCAATATGCAGTGCYGTAACTAGCTTTTTATGTGCGCCCTTGGCAACCAATGTTATAAATTTATAATAAATTTTTAGTATTTAAATGGTATAAAAATTGCGCCCCTAGTTCGATCATTTTAAACTACGCCCTTGGCCACCGCCCACCTTGACAATGCCTAGATACGACACTGAAATATGTCTCTAAGTTTTAGAACAACCATTTATCAAATATTATTATCGCGTAGCCTAGGTAGAAAGTATTTATTTTTTTGCATTTTTTGACAATTTTAGTGCATTTTCTTAGTTTCTAGAGCATTTTTCAAAGTTTWTAAAAATACGACGGAACGAATAATAAATTATACAGCACGGCAACAGTTATCGTCGATAACAATTTTATTACTTTAGCTAGTTCATTCCACTCAAATTATAGCCGTTGTATACCTATGTATTATTAATTTTATTACACCATA